TCTCAGAACCAGGGAGGGACACAGCCAGGTCAGACGTGATGTCCGTGCCCCAGTACTCACAGGTAAAAATACAGAGCTGTTGTGCAGGAAGTATGTCCCTGTACACCAACTCTTCTGTTGTCACCAAGGAAAACACCAGAGAAACCTTTGGCTTCTCCTGCTCCTAGCTGACTTACAGATCACTGATTCTGGAGGCCACCCAGCTGGGCCAAACATCAGCCTCCCACTCGCAGTAGCTCTACTGCAATGGCGATGATGGTTGCCTAGGTTACTTTTTAAGGACTCGAGGCAGCTCTTGCGAAGACATTGCCTCTTTTCTTCTGCTCGCAGATATCTGAAAGGCGCCTGGAAGGGCATCTCGCTCTTGTACTGGATCCATCTCCTTTCTCTTTAATCCTTGGGTGAGCTTCTGCCCGGCTCTGCAGGTGGATGTGCTGAACCTTACAAATGTTGTGTCCAGATCTGTGACCCAAGGCCACCTTGAGCTGTACTTGTCTGGCCTCTCCTTCCCTTCAAGGATAAGAGCACCATCCCTGTGGTCCCTGCCATTACAGAAATGCTGATCCCCCCCCCCCCCCCCCCCGGACAAAAAAGGCGGCACCCTTCTGCCGGGAATGCTATGCCTGGAGTTAGCCTCTGGCTCCTGTCAGTCCTTTCCTGTGTCTCTAGCATCTTAGCCCCTGGAATTCGGAAGTTTATTTGCAAGCACAGCTGCTTTTCTATTCTTTGGCCACTGAATAAGGTCTTTCTTTTTCCTCATATTCATGTCTCCAACACTGGATTTTCTGCAGGATTAACTCCTGGACAGGGCTCAGGAACACTACAGTTTTTGTCCATTTCTTGACTCTGACCTTGTTGGACCCTGCTTCCACTAGAGTCCTTTATTTCACCCCCATTCTTAATGACTGTCTAGAAGTTTCCACTCTGCTATGGCAACCCCAATGGCTCACCTCTTTTGTCTCCTGAAGTTCATCCTATTTCTTCACAGCCATCTTCTTACATCCTCCACTTTCCTGGAGGAGCTCTGATGGCCTCAGCCCATCTGTGAGTCCAAGGAGGCTGGGACAGCCAACATGAGAGGCTGCTTGAGCTATCCTTGGATTGCATAGCAATTAGGTCTGACAGCCTCATGTGAAATGGTCCCTTGGTCACAGCGCTGACTGTAAGCTGGGCCATGTGAGCCTGAGGCTGACAGAGCTCTGGATAGAGGAGTCAGGTGCCTATAGATAGATGCTGGTCAGAGAGGGCCAGCCTCCTCAACCCCAGGAGGCCCTTGGAGAACTTCGAAGACGCTCCAGCAGCTGGCCAAAGCCTTTCTGGTGAGGGAGGCCCAAGGTGCTCACACAGCCTGCCCTGCTGGGGACAAGGACCAGTGCACCTGCTTGTAGCATCTACATCTGTGGGGGCTGAGACCACAGTCTGCAGGCCAACATCTCTGCCAGCTGCTACCCTCCCTCCTTCCCCTATCTCGTCCCCCTTCCCCTACAGGCTTGTGTTAAATTTAGGATGTCTGAGAATGTTCCCTTTGGTCCCTTCATTGATGCACAGCACGGCAGGTGCCCACCCAAGAGCTGCACCTGCATCTGCTGGTGGGGGTCCACATCCCCGTCTGAGAAAACAGCCCTTGCGGTCCCTTCTGTCCAGGCTGCCCAGCTGGCTGTGCTCAGCCACTGGGGTTGCTTAAGAGCTGCATTCCTGCATGGGCCCAAATACAGTCTTGGATGTGTCTGCTCCAGTCGGCTGCTCTCCACAGGGTCTGAAGCTGGCTGGATCCAGCTTCTGCATCTTCCCTGCTCAGATCTATGTTTGCCCTTCACCTCTCCTGACTGCCTTCATGGTGACCAAAGTATCACCAGAAAGCCAGGTCCTGGCACAGCAAGGAAGTGGCCCCTCACTTTCTTGTGCCTTTATGAAAGAATTCAGTCATGACCCACAGGTGGCCAACAGCTGTGCAGGGAAGATTTAGTGTCAAAAGAGAGAGACACCCTTTGAGGGCAAGGCGGGCAGGGCTGTGAAGCCTAAATTTGAGCTTAGGTACCTTTTATGTCCACAGAGTTATCCCTCCCCGGTATGTGGCATGGGCTGTGGGTCTCGCTCTGGAACTAGGTAGCCGATGGCCAGGTGTCAGAAAGGCTGCGCACATGAGTGACCCTAGTGCCGCTGTGCTCTGGGCATTGCTTTAGGTCGGACGATGGATGCATCCTCTGTTGACCTCTTTGTTTCTTGGCTCACCTGGCAATACTTTGTCTCTCAGACTTGCTAATATAGAGCTACCTGCCTAAAGGTCTTCACCATGTGTATAATTTGTTTTCTGCATAGTTTTTCTTCTTTTGGGGGTCTTCAAGGTAAGGGCTGAGCTCAGACAGAGGATCAGAGGGTGTGGTCCTGAGGTAGGAGTGAAGGAATAAAGACAGAAAGGGGACAAGCAAAAGTGGAATTTTAACTCTACTTCCATGTCCCAATTACTGGGCCTGAGCCCTGTTTAATTTTTCCCCTTTTCTCAAGGCACAATAAGCCTGGGCAACTCCCTTTAACATGCAAATTGCACCTCTTGGCTTGAAAATAACCCACCCGCAAGACGCAGCACTGCCGCGGGCTGCAGGTCTCAACTTCAGCACGGGCTGGTGGGTTTCCTCCTACAGCCACCAGGGGGCGGGCGACCAGGCAGCCAGGCACACAATTGGATCGCCCCTCCTGGCGACCTGAACCCGTTCGTAGGATCCATAGACAGCCGCAAAAGCACCTGCCTGGCAAACACGAGTTGCCCAGGTTGTATCTGGCTGAAGCCCTTGGCTCTGGTGGCTCTCCTGTGGACCCCCACAGGTGGAGTGCCAGCTGACCTGCTCAGCTGAAGGGGAAAAAAAAAAAGAAAGTAACAGCTTGTTCAGTAGCCAGGTGCCAAAAATCAAAGGTAAAATAATGTGAATAATGGCCCCAAAATGAGAGAAGCAAGATAAAACAGGCCATGTTTGGCATAAGTTTTTATCTTTAATGTTCACTTCTGTCTTCAGGTATTTATGCAAGTATAGAAGATAGAGTTTAAGCACACAGACCCCCCCTCTGTGTCAATAGGAAATCTGATCTTTAAAATTTTAATTATAATGGCCAAGTGATAAATAAAGATATCTGTGTTTGGGGCTGAGGATTTAGTTCAGCGGCATAAGCACCTGCCTTGCAAGCAGGCGGCCGTGAGTTCTATCCCCGGTACCGATAAAAATGAAAAAGACAAAAAAAAAAAAAAAAAAAGATATCTGTGTTTCTAATGTAAACTCATTACAGGGCTCAGAAACTGTGATCCAGCCTGGTGTGGTGGCACACATACGTAATCCCAGCACTTGGGCATTTGAGGCGGGAGAATTGTTGTGAGTTTGAGACCAGCCTGGGCTACAAAGTGAGCTCAAGCCCAGCCTGAACTGTGTAGTGAAACTCTGTCTCAAAAAGACACACACACACACACACACACACACACACACACACACACAGAAAGAAGCAGGGGTTCAGCCTTCCCTTTGTAGCCCTGAAGATCTTCATAGGGACTGTTTTTAAGATACGCAATCACACAGAGCCCAAGGTAGATAATATAAAATGAATTTATACCTCAAAATAACCATATAGCATTAAAGTGTTTACGCTGGTATTTTTTTCCTATGTGTGACCTATACAGGAAGCTACCTTTTCACCCTGGAGACACTTGAATGTATAGCAAAAGGTCTCAGCGGGGCTGCCAAGGCAGGCAGAAGGACACACTGGCGGGTAGTCGGGTCTGGAAGATGTTTGAGACGTCAGAAGAAGACCTGTGAGACACATGTATCTTTAAGGTCAGTTAAGGCTCCTCAGGTGTCACCTTGGGGAGGAGGCACTTGTTACCCATTGTCACCTGACCATGAATCGTGGTCTTGCTTGGCCACATTTGTGGCTTTCTTTGGAAACTTGGAGACATTTTGCCCCAGTGATTTTCCTCTTTGTGGGTCTCTGGGGTCCAGACAGCTCCTCTGCTCAGGAGACTGGGCGACTCACTGGAGGTACAAGACTTGGTTAGTTCCTGGTCATGACGTGAAAGGCACTGTACATAAGGAACAAACTGATAAAGTGGAATTCCCCAAACATTTAAATCTGCTCTGTGAGTGCTCTGTTAAGATGATGAAAAGACAAGCTACCACTGGGAGAAAATATTCTAAAGCTACACATCCAGCAAAGGACCGACATATCCACTCTGTAAGACTCCTTTAAACTTAATATTGAACAGTCTTGTTAAGATATAGGCTAAGGGGCTGGGAATTTAGCTCAGCGGCATAAGTGCCTGCCTTGCAAGCAGGCAGTCGTGAGTTTGATACCTGGTACCGATAAAAACGAAAAAGACAAAAAAAAAAAAAAAAAAGATATAGGCTAAAGAAGACATCGCCAAGGGGCCAAGATACACATATGCAAAAGTGTGGGCCACTGCCTGGTAAGCACGAAGTTTGATTTCTGGTACCAAAAACAAAAGCACAGACCAGCGATGCATGGTGGTATCATTCTAATACTTTGAGAGGCTGAGGCAAGAGGATCACAAGTTTAAGGCTAGCCGGGGCAACTTAGCAACATAAAGACGCAAAACAAAACTTGAAAAATAAAAAAAAATTTTAAAAAACTTGGAGATTTAGTTCATTGTGAAAGTTCTGGGTTCAATTCCCAGTATAGGGAAGGCTGGGATGAGGCACATCATGTTGACCAAGATCCCACATCACTGATCTTTTGGAAGACGCAATTTAAACCTGCATGAGGCGGCAAGCACATCCCAAGAGTGCCTGCTGGGAGGAAGCAGTTGCCCAGGTTGTATCTGGCTGAAGCCCTTGGCTCTGGTGGCTCTCCTGTGGACCCCCACAGGTGGAGTGCCAGCTGACCTGCTCAGCTGAAGGGGAGACATTTGTCATACTGCCTTGGTCCAAGTAAAAGGGGACCTCAGGGACCTGACCCCATCCAGAGGTCAGGGACTGAGTGGGAAAGCCCAGCAGGGGGCGACAAAGTCCCTGGCAATGGCACACACAGGCTGCTTGGGTAGAAAGAAAACTGCACCTCAGGATGGAAAAACAACCAAGCAGGGTGGAGGAAAATGGGCCTTGCCTGATCTTCCCCTCCCCCAGGCAGTGGCTAGCCCTGTTTGCCTCTTGCCTCCTGGTCAGCATCACCTGACTCTACCTTGGACAAACCTCGCAGACAGGACAGAGGGCAAGGTCCAACTGCAAGGCCCCGGCTCCCCCACCCCTGTCTGTCCACATCCCCAGGGCAGCTCTGAGGTCACCGTGAGAACCCTGCCTCCTTCCAGGGTCGGGGGCCGGGGATCAGGAGGGTGAGTGATTCAGGCAGAGCAGAGCTGGGGGCACCCTGACCTCTGCACCAGGGTGGTGGGATAGGGCCGACGTGTCCGGCACCTCTGCCCTAGGTCCTGGTGGGTGGAGACCAAAGAAAGTGCAACAGGTTCCCAGGACGGGTGGCCCCAGTCCTGTGTGGTCAGCTGCCAGGTGAGTGTGTGCAGATGGTGGCCTGGCTTGGAACGCTCCTGGCCCAGGCACCATCTTGCTTGGGAACTGTCCTCCTCTGAAGGACTTTCTTGGTCTGGGGATACTTCTCATCTGGGGACTGTCTTGCTCTCCTGTCTTGCGCCTCCTGGTGTTGTCCAAGCCTGTGACTCTGGTCTGAGTTCCTCCCTGACCTTCCTGGGGCTGAGACAGGGATCTTCAGCACCTCCCTTCCCAGAGGAGGCTCCTCATGTCCCTGAGGGGGCGTGGGTGCTGGTGAGGGTACATGTTGGGTGCTGGGCAAGCTGCCTGTCCTCGCTGCCTCCACCTTCTCTCCTTAGAGTGGGCGCAGTCACCATGTGTCCAGAGGGGACACACAGCTAGGACCTTGCCTGCCTGCGCTGGGTTTGGTGATACACATGGGAAGTGTTTGCATTCTTGGAGGACAAGCGGCAGGTTAAGTCTCGGGACTCCGAGTGCTGGGGCCTGGTGTCCAGTGGGCTGCAGTGTCCAGCCTGGGCTACAGTGTCCAGTGTGCAGCAGGTATCAGGTATGGGGCCAGCCAGCAGGCCCCTCCTCATGCAGCAGGCTGGGGTGGCTGGAGTTGAGCCCTGAGCTGGGCAGGAGAAGTAGGTGACCCAGCCCAGGAATAATGTGCAGTCAGCCCTGATCACCTGCCCTGGCCCTCTGGGGCCAATGAAAAAGTCTCAGATTCAGGGTGGAGACCCAGGCTGAGTTTTCAGAAAGAAACAGAGGTCTTTGTTTGAGGCACCTTCCACCCGCCTGCCTGGCTCGGGCTCTGAGAAACCTGCCTGGGGTGAGGCTGGGTGGGGCTGGAGTTCAGCCTGGGGCAGAGGAGGAGGCCCCAGGCAGAGGGAGCAGGGCTGGGCTATAGCATGGGGTGAGGGAGCCCCCGTCCCTTCTGTGGGTCCCACAGGGCCACCACACCTGAGAGTGGCATAGGAAAGGGCTACCCTCAACCCTGTGGGTCATTTTAGGACCCACAGCAGGACCTAGGGGAACTGGGTGGGTGGGGCAGGAGTCTTGGTGCCCACCACAGCTCCCATTTGCCCCGTAGGTACCTGCACCCACCATGGGGCCATCCTGGAAGGAGCGGATCTTTATGGTCCTTCTCGGGGTCGCCACAGCCTCAGGCCTCACTGTGCTCATCCTTATCCTGGTGGAGGCAACCAGTGTCCTACTGCCTGCAAAGACCAAGGTGAGCCTAGACTGGTGGGGGTGAGGTGGGGTAACTGGCCACCGGACTCCCACTGATCCAGTGTCCCCCTAGTTCGGGATCGTGTTTGATGCTGGCTCCTCCCACACATCACTTTTTGTGTACCAGTGGCCAGCAGACAAGGAGAAGGACACGGGTTTGGTCAGCCAGGCCCTAGCCTGCGAGGTGGAAGGTCAGCGGGCAGTTCCTGGGCGAGACTGTCAGGATAGGGCCCTGGGGGAGGTCAGACAAACACTGCACTGGGGTTCCAAGCAGCCAGGTGATGTCCCAGGTTGCATAGCTGCAGTGCAGGCCGGGCTGGACCTGGGCCCGATCTGTGGGACCCTCACCCTACCTCCCTGCTGACCGTGCATCTCCCTAACCCTCACTGCCCACCCAGAACTGTGGGTCTTAATGGCCAAGGCCACAGCTCCTCTGAAAGCAGGGTACAGGGCTGGAGGTCACATGTCCCAAGGCCACTGTGCAAGTGTGGGGCCCACCGAGGAGTCCACGATGATCTCGAGGTCTTCAGTGGCACAGATGAGGCTGCGGCCACAGCTCGTGAGCGTGAGCTTCAGGGTGTTCATATGGGAGCCACTGCTGTGACCTGGCTGCGGCCTGGACCTTGTCCTGGTGCCATTGCAGGGCCTGGGATCTCCTCCTACACCTTGGACCCCTCACAGGCGGGCGAGAGTCTCAGGACCTGCCTGGAGAAGGCGCTGGCACTGGTGCCAAGAGCCCAGCACAGGCAGACACCCGTGTTCCTGGGGGCCACAGCTGGCATGAGGCTGCTTAGGTGAGGTCTGTTTTTGGGTCACAACATGCAAAGTGGGGTTAACAGGGCCAAGCCCAGCTTCTTGCCAGCTTGGCCCCCATTCCCTGCCCAGACAGAAGAACAGTTCCCAGGCGGAGGACATCCTTGTAGCTGTCTCCCAGGTCCTGAGCCAGTCACCTCTGGATTTTTGGGGTGCTGAGGTGCTGGCTGGACAGGATGAAGGTGCCTTTGGCTGGATCACTGTCAACTACCTGCTGGGAAGGCTCATCCAGGTATGTGGTAGCCCAAGGGTGCTGGCTGGCAGATAGGGTGGGGCTGGGCAGCAGCCCTGGCTAAGTACCTGTCTGTGCACAGTACTCTTCTGGACAGTGGACTCAGCCTGCTGAGGGGATGCTGGTGGGTGCCCTGGACATGGGGGGCGCCTCCACCCAGATCTGTTTCGCACCCCGTGGCCCCATCTTGGACCAGAGCAGCCAGGCCATCTTCCGCCTCTATGGCACCAACTACAGCATCTATACACACAGCCACCTCTGCTTCGGGCGTGACCAAGCACTACTCAGGCTCCTGGCCAGGCTGCTGCAGGTTGGGCAGTGTGGGGAGGCCAGTGTGGGGACTCAGGAGGCACTGGCTGGAGCTCAGCCCTTGGCCTTCCCTGTAGAGCAGCCGGACCACCCTGCTGCGACACCCGTGCTACCACAGTGGCTACCAGACCACCCTGCCCCTGGCCACCCTGTCTGAGTCGCCCTGCATTCACACTGCGGAGCCCCTGGACCCTACACAGAACCTCACAGTTGAGGGCACAGGCAACCCTGGGGCCTGCGTGGCAGCCATCCGTGGGCTCTTCAACTTCAGTTGCCAGGACGAGGGAGACTGCGCCTTCAACGGGGTCTACCAGCCCCCCGTGCAGGGGCAATTCTACGTGAGCACCTGGTGCCCTACTCCCACTGGGCCATGCATTGGCTGACCCTGGGACAGCCCACCAGAGCCCTGGGAGGCACAAGATGCAGGCACAGGCCGGTGAGGCCCTGACCTCCTGCAGGCATGCACAGCCTCTCCCTCCCCTCCAGGCCTTCTCCGGCTTCTACTACACCTTCCACTTCCTCAACCTCACCTCCAGGCAGCCACTGGGCACTGTGAATGCCTCGATCTGGGACTTCTGCCAGAGGTCCTGGTGGCAGGTGGGTGATCTGTCCCCTGCCCCAACCCTCCCCATCTTATGGGGTTTCTCAGGACCCAGGTTTGATGGTGGAGCCCACGCTAGTCAGTATCTGGCAGGTGGGAGTACCGTGGGCAGGGAAGGGCCCCCTGAAAGGCCCCCATGTCTCCGCCTCCAGGGGACCAGCCTCTGGAGGTCATGGTGGCTGTTCTGGACCTCTCCCACTCTTCATGGTCCCTGCAGGGACAAGGGAGGGCACTCCTGTAGTCCGGAGGCTCCACTGGCCCAGGCACTGGCCAGGGAGCATTCGGGGTCTAGGGCCCTCACTGGCTCTCGGGCACATTGGCTCCAGGTGAAGTCCAGCTACCCTGGGCAGGAGCGCTGGTTGCCGGACTACTGTGCCTCAGGGCTATACATCCTCACGCTGCTGCGAGATGGCTACGGCTTCCAAGAGGAGACCTGGCCCAGCATTGAGTTCCAGCAGCAGGTGATGCCCCTACCAGGTACAAGACTGGGGGTGGGGTCTGGAGCACCTGCCCAGAATGCTGAGCCCCTGTGTTCCTCAGGCCAGCGGCACTGACATAGGCTGGACACTGGGCTACATGCTGAACCTCACCGGCATGATCCCAGCCGAGGTGCCAGTTGAGTGGCGGGCACAGAGCTACAAGGTCTGGGTGGCTGGAGTGGCATTTGTAGTGCTGACCCTGGCGGCTATTCTCGGGGCTGCCGCAGTCCATTTCCTATGGCTCCAGGACTAGGCCAGGCCTTACCAAGACAGACTGTGATGGCTGCAGCTGCAACCCATGAACATCTGTCACCCACACCCAAGTAGCCTGGGTCAGTGGGTAGTGCTTGAGGGAAGAGCCTGGACACCACCCTGACTCCTCCACCCCCAGCCACTGGGCAGCTGGGCCTTCCTACACCAACCAGCCAACCCTGCAGCACCCCAAAGTGGCCACTGGGCCCTCTGTGCCCCCTGGTGATCAGAGGACCTATAGAAGTGGCACCATGGGCCACACCTTTCCAGGAATGTGCTGGGCTCCTGTCCACGCCAAGTCCACAACACAGAACACGCTGGCACCATTTTTATTAAACCCTCTGAATGGACAGCTGCTCAGAGCCTGTCTTCCTGCACTGCTTCGCTAGCTGGAACCACAAAGCTCTTGGGGAAGATGCCGATGTAGCCATCCCGGTGCCCCTCCAGCCAGGCCTCATCCACTGTGGGAAGGGGACCTGGTCAGCGTCTGTCCCCACACAGGCTGGGCCCTGGGCCAAACCCCACCTGGCCACTGTGGGGTACCTTCGCCCAGGACGTCCACTGTGTCCCCGCGGTGGAGGTCCAGGTCCTCAGGGCCCTGGGCTGAGTAGTCATGCTGGGCTAACACCTGGTACAGCACTGGTCGGCCCGCAACACCCTGTGGCAGGAGGTGGCTGAGGGGTGGGGAGCAGGGCTATCCAAGTGCCTGAAAGCCTGGTCTTGGCCCATGTCCACTGTCCCACTGAGCTCCCTGCTCAACTCACCCGGCACTGGAGCCGCAGCCCTTGGGGGGCAGAGGCTGTGTCCCTCCATGCCTTCTGCAGTGTGTCTTCCCTGAGGATGGGGACCCAGAACTGGCCATCCTCTGGGGCCCAGTAACTTCCGAGAAAGCACACAGGTTGGACGTGAGGGTCACCTTCCCACCCCAACCTCCAGTGTACCCTGCACTTACCTAAGCTGTGCCTTCCTGGCCTGGGCAGGGAGGGCCTCAGCCAGCAAAGCCTGCAGGCTGGCCAGCTGGGCTTCTCGGGGGGCCCGCAGTGCCACTGTGAGGGTGCACTGCACTGTAACCATCACGGAGTCCTTGGAGTGCAGTGTGGCTTCTCCCTGGGGCAAGGGTAGGTAGTTTTGAAGTCCCTAGCTGGGGGGCTTTGGATCCCTGGGTAAGGCAAGACGGGGTGGGGGGCACAGTATAGACCCAGGGTTCAGGGTGTCTCTTACCCTGGTGCTCACAGGATCCTCGAAGGGACTGGGCTTGGGAAGCCCTGTGGGAGACATAAGGGTCAGGTGGGTGGTGGGAAGGGGCAGAGGAATGGCCAGAGGGCAACTGCTGCTGCTGCCCCAAGTTTGCCCTGGGGGACAGGAGGCCTGGTCCCAGCTCACACCCTTCATGGACTCCCTCACCTGAAGATGGAAGGACTGGTTTGCCAGCAGGTGCCACCCTGGGCCTCTGTAAAGGAAGCCACAGCTAGGTCCTGGTGCAAAGGACTCTAAGTGTGAAGGGGTTAGGGGCAGGCCTGGGGCTGGGGACCCTCATATGGGAGCCAGGAATTCAGAGCCCCTGGAGTCTAGGAAAGGAAGGCTGTGGTGATGCCCTCAGCTAGAAGCAGGACCTCCAAGGTCTGGCCAGAGTCATGTGCTCCTGACCTGTCCTTGGCTCTTTCATTCTTGGTCCCTTGTACCCAGGATAGTCAGGGAGGGCCTGAGATGTGGTCAAGGTGCTCCAAGGCCACCCTTGCTGGATACTTGTCCTGACTTTACCATGTGTCCCCCACCCAGGCCCTAGAGTGCCCTCCTGCCCTCATGCAGGGCTGGATCTTGTCTGGCTCTATGTGGGGCAGGCTTGGTCCCTGGTGCCAGCCCCACTCACCATCTGATGGGAGGTGACAGGCAGGTGGTGGTCAGCCTGCCCAGCAGGGTCAGAGCCGGCTTCGCTTGCTGCACTGTGGGAGTTGTCATGGGTGGCGGCTCCTCTGGGCTCCAGAGCTTGGGGCCTGGGAGGAGGGGTCCCTGAGGTGAGGCATGCAAGGCAGTGCTGGGGCAGGGTTCCAAGGTCTATCTCATCCCAATGCCTCCAACTTGAGCGCCCCTGGTCTCAAGGGCTTCATGTGTCAAGGTGTCCCTTCCTTATGCAGCTTTGCTCAGAACTGACCCCTCATCCTGGAGCTACCTCTAGTCACAGTGACTTCTGGATTTCACTCTCCACCATGTCCCCTACTCCTGGAGGGGAAAATAGGAACCCCTGCTTCCTTGCACAGGGAGCCCCAGCCAGTTTCAGTCTTCGAACAGGTGGTGATGGTCCCATCCCCTAACAGCCTGGCTGAGCCTGGTCCGCAGGGCCTTGCCCCAGAGGAGCAGGAGGTGTGGGAGATGGGCCCCTTCCTACCGTGGTACAGCTCCGCAGCCAGCTTCACCATGGATTCCCTGTCCCTGTAAGCATAAAGTGACAACGTTGTCCTGGCCAAGGATGGAGGGCAAACGAAAGGTCCCTACCCCAAATCTTAAGATGGACCACAGTGGGATAAGTCTCATGGGGATAGGAGAGCCAACTCGCTTTACCATCAGAGATCAGGGTCTCAGGCAAGGAGTGACATGGGAAAGAAGGCTCAGAACTGCTGTATGTAGAGAAGACAGTCCTATGAAGATGGGCAGGACAATCTGGATGACAGGACAGCCACCTACCCACCTGTGGAGGCTGGACACTTGAAGGCTGGTCATTAGGGACAGTGGAGACCACCACCTGGTGGAGGATAGGACAGGACAGTTGAGTAGGGCCCCTGCAGGCTTGCTCAGCCTGCCCTGCCCAGCCACATCTCAAGTCCAGCGTGGGGCCACATGTGCTCAGCCCAAGACCACTAGACCACAGGAAAATGCATGACAGAGCCCCCAGGGTGGTCATTTAGACATCTGGCGTGAGCTCTGCATGCTGTCCATGTAACAGCTGTGACTGTGATACGCAGACCCTAAATGGACACATGAACACGACCCTCTCCACATGTCCCTGTGGGGGCTTCACGGCAGTCACAGTCAAGTGATGTGGCGGCTCCCTGGGCACCAGCACTGTTTCAAGAGACCTCAGGTGTGCGGCCAGCCCAAGGGCCCCAGTGCAAACACAGGGGCCCTTTGTGACGCTGGGAGTCGGTACTGCCCCCAGGTTTCTCCTCTGCCTTCAGAGGCGAGCTGCTCGCCTTGTCTGTGATTCTGGCAGTGCGGCCTGGTGCTGGTCCTAGATGGCCAGTGTTTCCACCAGGCCCTCACAGCCTGCAGCAGAGACAAGACACTTGGAGATGCAGGGGGAGGGGATAGCACCCCTACTAGGTCCCTGACAGGAAGGCATGCCCCCAGGTCCCTCTCTGGGGCTGTCACCCCAAACTGCCCAGCTAACTTCCAAATGATCTGGGCGGGACTCGCATGTCCCTATGCCACAACAGGGTGCCCAGCGTAGAAGCCACTGCATCCAGCCCAACAGCCCACACCATACCTTGGCCTTGCCTAGGAAGTCCACGGGTTCCAGATGCTCCAAGTAACGTCTGTGGGGCCGGAAGACCTCGCCGGGGGGAACCTGCCGTGGCTGCAGGGGGGCCTGTTTCTGGGGCAGAGCCATTGCAGAGCTGGTGGTCATTGGGATAGCTGCAGCGCCTGAGAACAGGGAACCCTGCTGGGGCCTCCCCACTTCCTACAGCCCCCCACTCCACTTCCCTCATAAGCTTCTTCATGTCATGTAGCTGGCCTTGAGGGTGAGCTACAAATACCAGCCCAAACTGCAGGTCTCAGGCCAACCTGCCATGGGTACCTCTCACCTGCACGTGGTACAGGGCTGTAGTCAGACCCTCCCGTGCCCTCTCTGGCCACCTGGATATGGACTCAGCCAGCGTGTTAGCAGCCTCGGCCCAGAGTCCCAGCTGGCACTGTGCAGACGCCACATTGTACAGTACCTGAGAATGAGAGTGGGCGACAGAAGGGTCAGATCCAAAGTTTGGTTCCCACCTGGAACCTCATGTGTATCTCACCGGTTTCTTCACCTGTCCCCTACCTGGAACCTCACCTGTCTCACACCTGGGCTCCCCAGCCACAGCAGTTAGAGCTCTCCTTGCATCCAGCTGATGTAAGGGCTGTGGCAGGGACCAGGCCACACTTTGCTCAGCACTCTACTCTTGCCTCAAAACGCTTCCTGGGCTGACACCTCAAGCCTACACATGGCTGTACCCCCATCCCATGCCTCTGTGAGTGGAGATGCATCTGAGGAGGTTCCCTTGGGTCCCGGCCCCAAAGCACACATCCCAGCTGGCTTTGTTTCACCAAGAGGCACCCACCAATCTTTGCTCAAGCTTCTGTCCCTGTAGTTGGCTTGCCACATGGCCCCAAGTTCCTGTACCTCTCACCTGCCCTCTGTCCCTCAGTGCCTGGGGCAGGTAGACAACATGGGACCTCAGCCCTGACTTCTACACTGGCACCGGAGGCTCTCACTGTGACTCCTGGGTTTGTGTTTTCATAGTACTCCCAGGACAAGGAGCTCCAGGGTCCACCCACCTCCACTCTGCCCTGCCTCCTCAAGCAAAACTCAGCCAGGACATCCCCAGGCTCTGGGAGCTTTGGAGTCCACCCACCTGACCCATGACAGTAATCCCATCCACTGGGACACCCCCCAGCCCTGGGCAGCTGGCACTACTAGAGCCCCACGGCCTTACCTCCCAGGCCTGCAGCCTGAAGCGTAGGCCCAGCTGCGTGTAGTCGATGATGCTGTTGCCCCGCAGCTGTACCAGGGCCAGCTGGAAGTCAGACAGGGCCTCCTGGAACCTATGGGCCACAGGGCTCCTCAGTGGGGCAGAGCCTGTGGGGAGCAGCCGGGGACACCCAGCCTCCCCTGCTCTGGGGAGACCCACAGGAGGCCAATGGTGGTCATCAGGTTTGGTACCAGTGAGCACCCAGTCCAGATGGACAGGCCAAGGGTCAGCACTCCATGTGCTGGTGGAGGGGCCAGGGCTAGGCTTATGAGTCTGCTCCCAGTTCTGCCAGGGGAGCCCACTGCCCCACCCTCCTTCCTGATCCAAGACCTCTGCCCACCCACCTCCCCACAAACCAAACTTCCAACATTTGTTGGGGCACCTATCTCTCCTATGCAGGCCTCCTAACTGACTGGAGCCTGCGGCCTGACCACTGGCCTTCCTGCTCCTGCTTCTAGGAAGGGTCAAGGTATAGAGGGCAAGGTGACCAAGATGTGTCTCAAGACAAATCCTTGGTTTCCTCATTTGCCCAGTGGTATAATCACCGGGTCTGTGATGATACAGAAAGGTAAAGAGAGAGCCAGGGCTACCAAAAAGAGCCTCGGGAATTTTGGCAGAGATGAAGGTCACATGCAGCCATGAGCCTGGTATGACCATAGTGGCCTCACCTGGCCCAAGGCACTGGAGTGACTGCAGAAAGTGGGAGGCTGCAGAAACAAAGGGGCCCTCAGAGAGGGAACAAGGGCCGCTGTGCTTACTGATCCAGCTGGAAGTGGGCCACACCCCGCTGGAGGAAGCCAACGGCCAAGCAGGTGTCCTTGGTCACGGCTTGGTCAAATGCCTGGGGGCAAAAAAGTTCATGGCACACCACAAGTTCCATAACCTGGTCACCTCATCCCACAGACACGGAGATTTCATCTCCCAGCGGTGAGGGCCACTTGCATTCTGCGCAGTGCAGCTCCTTCTGCTGCCACGACCCGCAACAGCCCAGCTGCCCAAGGTGGCAGCCACAGGCTCAGGGCCTGTGCCAGTGGGGATGAAGCCAGTCTGCCCACCATGGGGACAGAGACACAGAAGGAAATGTCCTTAGCATTTGCCTGTAGCATTTGCCTCGGGGTGGAGCTCTGTGGCTTCATCTTTTCAGGATCTCTTTTTGGGAGCTCACACAAAATGGCACAGAAGGTAGGTGAGGATCAGAGCAACCCAGATGGGATGGGAGACCTGTCTGAGTGGAAACTGCTGCTTTTTCCACACCAGCCGCAGAAATAAGGACAGTGGCCATCAGTACAACCAGATGGGAGGAGGGGCACAGATGGGGTGGGTGGAGGCACGAGCCTGTGGGTTTGACCTGAGCTTTGCAGCAGGTGCAATTGGGCCTGAAAGTGGGTGTGGATGTCATTTACTGGCCCCCACCCAGCACCTGAATGCAATATTGCGGAAGTTTCTTACCAGCAGACAGCAGCCCAGCCCCTCCTCCCTCCTGCCCCTTGACAGCCAGTTTTACCAATGGTAGCTGCTGGGTTGTTGTTTAGAATCTCCTGTCCCTACCCTGCCTACCGCTGTCCTGTACTGCTTATGCTCTACCTTCGTACAGCACCTCCTCTTATCTTTCGGCGGAAGAGAATGTGGCCTCTCCTGGCATCAAGTTTAATGAGCAATAGGGGCCAGGTCAGCCTGCCTGACTCACCCTAGTGGCTTCCTCCTGGATAGGCTTAAGGCGGAAACTGACTCTGAGAATCAGCTCTGCCTGCCCCGCATCCCCTGTGGGGACATTACATGGGCACTGGGTCCTCATCTGTATGGTGTGCAGGCAGTTGCCACAGATCTTCAGACAGTAGGAACCCAGCTGTCCAAGTGACAGGCAGGGTGCTACAAGCATCTTCTCACATCCCCAAGGACAGGCAACCCTTTGAGGACCAGGAAGTGTTTGAAATAGCAGGTGTTGAGGCTGTGTGCACCTGGAGTTTCAGGGTATTTCCAGAAGCTGGTGGGGCCACAGTGAGAGCTGAGCACTGAGGTCAGACCCTGTCTGTTGCCATCTCCACAGACTTCTAGGCCCCAGCCTCATGCTTTCCTGCCAAGGCTGAGGGCAAGTAGCCTTGGCTTGGGGCCCCTGCGCTGGTCCTGGCCTCCGGGGGATGCTTGTCTGATACTCACTGTGGAGGCACTGAGGATCGCTGAGCCCCATCCCAGCCACATAGCTCCCACCAGCCTCTGCCCCCTGGAGGCTCAAGACGAGGGCAGGGAAGCTGAATGGCCGGGGTTTCCGGACCCTTTCCTGGGTGCCCTGGGTAGGGTCCTCCGCTCGCAGCTGGGTCTCTGCGCGCCCTCCTAGCTTCCCTGGACCCCGAGGGGTCCGCTAATCCCGGTGCTCACCCGCAGCGCGGCCTCGGGGTCCCCGGCCAGCAGGTGCACGCAGCCCATGTTGAAGCTCATCCTGGAGGGCAGCTCCTCAACACTCGAGAAGAGGCGCAGCGCGCAGCCCCAGTCCCCGCGCGCCACGGCCTCCGCACCCTGGTGCCAGTCGCGCACCTGCTCCCCGAGCGAGCGCATAGTGGTCAGGACGCTTCCTGGACGGGACGGTGTCAGTACGGACTTTCGCGCGTGGACAGTGTCGCGGGCTGGCAGGGCCTCGAGAGGCAGACAGCGACGGCAGCGCGGGAACCAGGGTTTAGAGCCAAAAGAGTGCATGGTCCCTGAAGCTCCGCCCATGCCCCGCCATGCAGGCGGGTCATACATAGACCACGCCCCATACCCCACGCGATCCTCCTCCTCCCGCCCAAACCGTCTGCCCCCGCCCTCCCGGCCCGCCTCCCGCTTAGCCGCGCCCCTGCCGTCGCCAGGCCCGCCCACGCTGCTAGGCCCCGCCTTTTGAAACTTCCGCCACAACGCCCTTCCTGTCTTTCCTGCGTTGGCCAGGTGTCCTTGTTAAAGCACTCCGGGCGCGCCACCGCCGTGGGCCGACGTTCCGGGCCTGGCGGGCATTTTGCGCGAAGGCTTGCAGGGGCAAGTGCGCGGTCCCGCAGGGGGACACCGGCTGCTGGGGCGCAGCGGCCGCGAGCCTCTGCCTGCTCAGTGCGCGTCGCGGTGCTAGAGGGGCGCTCTAGGGAAGACCTGGTCTTTCGCTTTGCTCGGGTCTGTGGTTTAACGTTAATCTCATCCCCAGACACCCCACCGCGACACATCCCTCGTGGTAAAGGGACCTCGATGATCAGGATACTCCCTGGGTCTCAGGCATCACCTGGCCATTGAGGCCCAAGGGAGCTGCTGCACCAGCTCTAAAAGGCCAGCCCAGGTTGGGGCATAGCCTCGGTTTTCCTTTCGAGAGGGGAAACTGGAAGGGCCTGGAGGATTGGAGGAGGTGAGCAGGGTGTGGGGCTGGGAGCTGGATTCCTGAGCAGGTGGCATATGGGAGCGCAGTCTGGGATGCACCTGTGGAAGAGAGGCCTTGTATCTGTGCACATGGATGTTGCAGGGACAACTGTGATGGCTCTTGGTCGAGGGGCCAGTGAACCCCCTCTGAAGGCAGCAGATGCAACAGCTCCTACTCTACCGGCATCCACCCTGACAGTCTTGTCCCCTCCCCCTAGAAACTGAGCACCTTGTGAACTGCAGAGAGGGTGCTGGGCGAGGGTTCCTTAGAGCCACAGGGAGACCGGGAGCTGAGGTACAGATGTGCGATGAGGAGAACCAAAGGTATCTGACTCTGTGTCAGGAACACCTGTGAATGTCCCAGACACTTGCAGTGACCAGAGGGGTCAGCATGAGTGACATGGCTCCATGGCTCCTTCATCCTGGGCATGGGTGCCATCTGTGGGGTGGCCTCCATATGGCATAGCCCTTGAGTGACTGGGCTTTGGGCATAGATTCTCAGTGGGCCAGGGTTGGGGAGCCTTTCCTGTGCCCTCTTGCTGTTCTCATCTGTACAGCCCCTGCTCAAGTAGCTCCCTTTGCTCCAGGCCTAGGCTGAGAACCTTAGGATGGGGATGTAGGGCACACAGATCCTCCCACATGGGAACCAGGTGCTGAGGGAGCGGATACCAGGTAGCCTGTAGGACCTTGTGTTGTCCTGCAGCCCAGGTGGTCTGGGCTCTGAGACAGCTGAGGCCAAGAGGGAGCCAGCAGTGAAGGAGACAGGGCATCACTGCTGTGGTCCTCACAGGACTTGAGCAGGTCTCCTGTGTGGCATGAGAGACACCAGGTCCGCCTCAGCTGACAGCATCCTGGTCTGCTGCTATCTGCCCTTCAGGGCACTGAGACCAGGCAAGCAGGAAGTGGAAAGTGCAGACCCTGTCTCAAGGGTGCTGGAGGCTAGACTTTGGCTGTCTGGAGGATAAGGTGGAAAAGACACATTAGGAAGGCCTGGAGAAACCAGGCCCCAGTTCCACTCCTGGGCCTGTACCCACCATTGGCGAAAATGCATCCACAGTGTACACAGCAGCGCTGTTCATGGCAACTGAGGTAGCAGGAGCAGCTCAGAGGTCCTGCTGCTTCTAGGGGACAAGCTGGATCCATCCCCACAGCAGGGTCACTAATAAGCTGGTCCAGGGTAGGCCAGGCAAGCAAGAGGGGTTGTGGCACCTGTCCTGCTTTCCAGCTGCCTCTGGTGTCCAGCCCTGCTCCTAACACAGCTGCCCCAGGCCTACTCAGTAGCCCTGCCCCACCAGGACAGGTCAAGGCCCTGCACCTGCCATAGGGGAGCTGCAGGTGGGTCTGCTGCTGGCCAGATGTGATCAGAGGGTGTCAGGCAGGGGCAGAACTTGGGGAGCTGGCATTCCAGGTTCACAGCAAGAGGGGTGCCAGGCAGGCACATTGGTTGCTGGTTTTGCCCTCCCTTGAGTTGGGGTTGAGTGGGAGTTCACTAGGCTCTGCTTGGGTCAGCTGGGATAGAAGCAAGGTTTGCTTCATTTTAAATGAGCTCAGTTTAATGAGTCCATAATAAGTGACTTAGGTGTCATCAGGTTCACAACCTTCCCTTCCTCTGCCAGGGCCCCCAGGGCAGAGCAGTGATGAAGCCCTAGGGCCTGGCTCTCCCCAGGATGAGGACGCAGCCCCGACCCCTCAATGGGTCCTGGAGAGGCTGCTACCTCCCAGCTCCCTTCAGGGCTGGGGAGATGCCCTCTCCTTCTTCCTGGGGCCCCGGAGAAGGCATGCAGTGGCCGTCAGACTTGCTGCCTCCCCTTCTTTTGCGCAGTGTGGCAGTCACCATGGTCCCTGTGGCATGGCTCAGTGACAGACTGGCCTGAGGGGGAGGTGCCTCTGGGTTTGACCGGCAGAGGGCCTCAGAGACCTGCTCCTGGCCGCTGCACACTTGCCCTGCAGATTACTCCCAGGCTCTGTCTTGAGTCCCAGGGGAGGCCTGGTGGCTTTAGCTCCAACTTCTCTTGGAGCTGTGCTGTCCTGGCCTGGTCTAGTGGTCACACCAAGGGCGCAGGAGGGAGAGGTCCATCCTCCTTGGTGAGGGTCTTTCTGAGGGGCAGCAGTGCAGCTGAACAGCTGGGCAGTGGTTGGGGCTCAGAGAGTGCCAGGAGCACTGGGAGATCCAGCAGGGAGCCCTGGGGGCCGGCGCTCTGCTGTTCACTGGTTGAACGCCTTCATCCTGGGTGGTGGGCCATTGGGGTCTCTGGGGACCTGGCACATCTATCACCCTCTCGGCCCCAGCTGGCTCAGTCCTGGACACCCTTGTTTCCCTGTGGAACTTTACAGGGATTCTTGTAACAGCCGTTTTATTATTTTATTTGAGAGAGTATCTCACTGTGTTGTCCAGGCTGGTCTTGAACTCCTGGGCTCAAGTTATCCTCCTGCCTCAGCTTCCTAAGTGCTGAGACAAGAGGAGGGGCCACCATTGCACCTGTATGTCCTTAGAAGCAAAGGACCTTGCACATTTCCCAACAGGGTCTCTATGGGCATCATCAAGCCCTGTGAAGGGTCAGGGTTCCAACGTGTGGCCAGTGCCATCCACCTGAGCCATCTAAGGAGAGACCTGGTCTGTGGAGCCCTCAGCTGCATTAACCTTTGTGAACCACAAGTGTGCTCTCAGAAAGAGAGCCAGGAGCCGGCAGGGAAGAGAGGCTGGGGCTTTTGCTGTTCTAGGGAGTACAGCTGTGTCCAAAGTGATTTCCTTCTGCCACAAGTCTTTCCTGTCTGGATTCAGAAGACAGTTATTCACCGTGTTCACCATTGGAAGCTTGGTCTGTGGTTTGTGGGGGTGCTGCAGGGGTTCCCTGGCCTGTGTAGCTCTCTGTGGGTCCCTGGTGGCCCAGGTACCTAGGGTAGAGTGGTTGGACTGGAGTCCAGGACTGGACTATCTCTCCGGATTCCAGCCACTGTGGGCACTACAGAGTGGCTAGCAGCAGTGCTGGGAATGTGAAGGTGCAGCTGCAGGAGCGCACCCCAAACCCAGCTGGGCTGCAGAGCTACTGGGCCAGTCCCCAAATCCCAGGCCAAGTCAGGGCGCTACAGCTTCTAAAGCTGTCTTTGCGTTAGTGCTTCTGAACTTGCAAGTTTATCTATGTACCCACATGTTTTACTGCACACAAACATTGCCTTTGTAGGTAGAAAAACACAAAGTGAATAAAGGTGGCAGCGGTGAGAGACTGGGCAAGACCAGGCTGGGTGCCAGCTGAGCTTCTCCTCTCCTATAGGGTGGGCACGGCCCCTGCTCCTGTGGAGACAAAAGGGACGGAAACAGGGTGCCTTGGGGCATTTGAGCCTGCCCAGCAAACCAGAATGGGGAGCCACAGCCACTTTTCTGCCACTTCCTAGCCCCAATACAGGCTGAATTATGTGCCTCCACTTCTGTGTTAAGGTCCTAACCCTCAATATGACTGTATCTGGAAGTGGCTTTTTTCCCCAGCTCTCATTTTGCCTTAATGACTTCTTTTTTTTGTCTTTTTCGTTTTTATTGGTACCAGGGATCGAACTCACGACTGCCTGCTTGGCAAGGCAGGTGCTTATGCTGCTGAGCTAAATCCCCAGCCCCTTTAATGACTTCTTTAAAAGCTGTCTCAAAAAAAAAAAGAAAAGATGTACATATAAATAAAAAAGCTGCCTCCAGCCTGCCATGATGGTACACACCCGTAATCCCAGTACTCGGAGGCAGGAGAATTGCAAATTTGAACTCAGTGTGGACAATTTAGCAACTTCATAAGACTCTGTCTCAAAATAAAAAATATAGGGCTGAAAGTTTAGCTCAGCAGCACAAGTGCCCACCTGGCAGCATGAGATCATGAGTTCCATAATATATGTATATATGTTCCATATATATATATATATATGGAATATATATATATATGGGCTAAGGGTACAGCTCAGTGTGCCCTGCATTCAGCCCTCAGGACCATGAATGAAAGGGCTTTGCTTACTCCGGCATTTGGGCCAGCCTGACATTTTCTTGTATTTGCCTTGGTTGTGGGTCTTCTGGTTTCTTACCATGTGCTGAACAGATGGACAAGTCTGCAGAGATTGGGCTCTGAAGGAGTTGTTCCAGGTTCTGTCCAGCTGGAGGCCGCAGCTGGGGTTGTTCAACGCTAGGTTGGTGCGGGCTGTGCCACCAGCACCCCTACCAAGGCAGGACTACACCGAAGTGTTGCCCTGAGGGACTTGGCATTAGGCCCTATAAAGGTGGCTCTCAGCATGGCCTCTGGTATGGCCATCCTGCCTTGCCAGTGCCACAGTGTGGATAGGCCCTTCCCCCAGCCA